TATAGTGACCTCGTTGTGTGACCTTGGTACACTCTCAGGACCTCAGCTGTAGAGTGAGGGCATAGGCCTACGTATTCTCCACAATCCCTTCCCAGACTCTACAGATGCAATGACTAATTCCAAATAAATTACAAAGATAATAATTGCAATGGATCCTTGAAGACGGTTTTACAGTCAAGGTAGAAGTTGAGTTTGGATCGGAAGGATGAGGAGGGCATTCCAGGTGAATGATGACACATCAAAACCAAGGCAGGAAAGCCCAGGTCCTAGTCAGGGGAGAGTGACCACACCAGTGGGCAGGGATCCGCATTTCGTGTGGTCCCTGCTGACATGAAAAACCACAAGCCTGTCTTTAAGTGAGTCATGGAAGGAGCTATCTGTGAAGCAGATGACTACTGGTCTGCACTAGGATGATGCTATTAACCTGGTACCATCATGCCCATGTGCATTAATAAGGCAAGTCACTGCTTGGGTGCTGGTGATGGGAGCCTTTGAAGACAAGGAATAACATGCTAATTTTAGCGCCAAAGGGCAGAGCGATTAGACACTAAATAGTTTAGAAAACACATTCTTTTCTCTCTTATGGGTTAGGAATATTTCAAAGGAAAATTAATCAGAAGTGAATCCAATGTCTAAATTTGGTAAGGATAAACAACACCAGAAAATGAGTGAATATTTGTGGTGTATGTACATGAATATGTTATGAGGTGAAGAGTGACCAAAATACCATTAGTCAATGCTAAATCTTCATTTAATTGGCCAGAAGATGCACAAGAAAATGATCATGTGTCGAGGGGTCATCAACACCAGGCCAGGGTATATAAAGGGCCCGGAGCGGGAGGAGGACATTCACACCTGAGAACACCCAGCTCCTCTCAACAGCCCACCCCACACCAGCCTCACACACCACCATGACCGGCTCCTGCTGCGGCTCCACCTTCTCTTCCCTGAGCTACGGGGGAGGCTGCTGCCAGCCCTGCTGCTACCGCGACCCCTGCTGTTGCCGCCCCGTGACCTACCAGACCACCGTGTGCCGCCCCGTGACCTGCGTGCCCCGCTGCACGCGCCCCATCTGTGAGAGCCCTGCCGCCGCCCGGTGTGCTGCGACCCCTGCTCCCTGCAGGAAGGCTGCTGCCGCCCCATCACCTGCTGCCCCACGTCGTGCACGGCTGTGGTCTGCAGGCCCTGCTGCTGGGCCACCACCTGCTGCCAGCCTGTGTCTGTGCAGTCCCCCTGCTGCCGGCCCCCCTGCGGCCAGCCGACGCCTTGCAGCACCACCTGCAGGACCTTTTCCTGCTGAGACCCCACTGCCCCCACAGAGCAATACACTGAAGCCTAAACGTCAATTTGGTGTTTTCAAAAGTCAAAAGAAAAATAGATATTTTTTCACCAGGTGACAATAGTGATTTTTACCATCTGGATACAGCCTGGTATAAGCAGATGTCCACTACCACCCTCACCCACCTTTTCAGGTGTCTACATCAACCTTAGTCATTATGGATAGTAAATTGACCTTTAAGAATCCCTGGGGTGGACTTTGCAAACACATTCTACAATCTGATGGTTTTACTGCTCAAACTGTCACCATCATCTTTTGCAATGTGTTGCTCACTGTTGTCAATAAACTAATTTTTCCTGGCATAGCAAACTGCCCTGCTCCCTGATTTATTTGTTAGTGCATGTTTATTAGTGCACACAGATAAGCAAGATTTTGGAACCTGCACCAGGGAACCAAAGCTCAACCTAAGCAAAACTTTATCCATGGAAATCTCATCCATTCAGTCATTCAAGAATTGTTTATCAAGGGACCTCCAATTGACAGGTGCAGCCTGATTAGTGATGAACAAGCTACATGCCTTGCATCCAAGGAGCTTATGGGCTAATGGAATAGACAAAAGGAAATGCAATGTTCATGAAGAGGGTAAAAGTGGGAATAGCATATGCCAAGCCCAGAATGACCACTGGCAGTAAACCTGACCAGCACAGTGCATCTCATCTTCTTAGCATAGTTCCTAGAGTAGCGTTTTTCAAAGTGTGGCCCATGCATCATACACACTAGAATCTCTTGCAATTTAAAATGCACATTCTTGGGCCCCAAACCAAACCTAATGAATCAAAATCTCTGGGAATGGGGTCCAAGACTGTTTATTTTCTGTCACTTCCATGTAATTCCTTAGAATTTCAGGACCATTATTTCGGAGGAAGACCAGGATTTGAGCTCCTTGAGACCTCAACAAGCATGGCCTGGTAGCCTTCCAAGAATAGTCACTGGAACAAGCCACAATGAAGACAACCACAGTTAAGAAAAAAGGGTAATATAGTAATAAGTCTGAAATAGCACCTGCTAAACTGTAATCAGAAGAATCAATTTGGCAGAGAAATGAATGTGCAAAAAGACAGTGTCTTGAGCTTGTCATAGGTGGAATAAAATGACAACAATGACAAAAAAGAGAGACAAAAAGGAAGAGATAAGGGATTAAACAAAAGTGAAGAGGGGAGGCAAGGCAATGAATAGGAAGAAAAGCGAAGAGGAAGATGATGGAGATGATGAGGAAGACAGAAGAGGAAAAGAGAGAGGCACTAGGATTCCCGGTACAAGTATTTGAAGATGTTACAGGAGAGCTAGACTAGTCCTTAGATTACTTACGTGGCTAGGAAGCGTGTACACATCAGGCAGCCTGCTGCCTGTCCTTTGCCCATCTCTACAGATCCATGTCTCACTGCTCCCCACTAAGATTCACTTCAAGCAACACTGACCTTATAGTTATTAAACATTTGCAGTTCCAAATGTTTTGCTTTTCCTCATGTTCTTTCACTTATCTGTTCTTTCACACACTCTTTCTCTTCACCTTCATCACCTACTTAACTCTGAGTCATTTCCAAGATTCAATTCAGTCTTCTCCAGTAGTCCTATCCCAAACCCTGTATCACACAAACACATGTGCAAATGCATACACACCTGTGCCCTTGCACACATATGCATGAATGCACACGTGCACACACACACACAGGTTAGGAGTTCTCAGCAAGTTCCAATAGCTTACCTCCCTCCCCATAAGGCATTGCATTGAGATTATATGTTTTTTTTGGCCTCCAAGGAGGGGATCACAGTTTATTTTGGCTTCCAATACTGAGCTCAACATTTAATACATAACTAGTATTTAATTTCCGCTTGTTTAGTTATCAAAATAAATTAAAAGGAAATTGTCTTTACCACAAGAATTTTAAAAGGTAGGTATTTATTTAAAGCAAAAATTTCGGCATTGGTGTAACTTAACCTCTCTGACTCTAGTTATCCCGTCCGCAAAATGGGAAAAGCAACATTTACCAACGTAGATTATTGGGAAAGTTAAATAACTTTTATAACTTTTTATGACTGCAAGATGCCCTGGCACATAGTTAAATGCGCAATACCATTCATTTATATTCCTGTGGTGCATTTGGACATGACTGTATTGAACAGGCTCAAAAGACGTGCTATCTACTACATACCAAATCATTGAGAATGGGAACAAATTCGGGGGAAGGCTTTACTAATCACACTTAAATTGTAATTTTTTTTCAGGATAGTCCACTTCTACTGGCAGGAATAGATTTTCTAATAAATATAATGAAGAAGGCAAAAAAAAAAAAAAAAACCCACAACAACTTGGCATCAGATTAAGGCTGTCTCAGAATGAAAATGATCTTTAAAAATTCATTCTACGAGTCCACAGGAATGAGTCCGAGATTACAGGATTTATGAATAGGAGTGCAGCATCGGAAAAAAGAAGGACTGAGCAAAATGTAAGTATCTGATGGTTAGACTCTTTCTTTCACATTGAACCATCCAAGGGAATTAAACAACGCAAAGCTGTAATAGACCCCAAAAGATTACTTTGCCTTCCCTGACTTTAGGCAGATGAATATCTAAAAAACTCAGATGAATTTTTTAAAAAAATTCTAGCAACAAATTCCACCAGTCCCCTGATTATTTAGTTTTTCTCTCTCTCCCAACTAAACTATTTTCTCTTTTCTAATTATATCAGTTAATTATATTCCTCTCTCTGTCTTCCACATTTGCATGGATTTTATGATAAGCCAGCCTCTGAAGAACACCAGGCACTGAAGACTCTGCCCATTTTACAGATGAGGAAACCTGGCTAAGGTAAGTCATTTACAACTGCAAAGAGATGGAGAAAGGATTGGAATCCTTCTTTATCTTCTCCATTCTCCTCCTGCCCTTTGCCCATCAATCTTCCCCATCCCATCTCTGACTCTTACGATTGGAGGATATTTTTAAGATTATTTCTGAGAACAAAGTCCTTAAGGAATGTATATTCTAATTTCAGAATTTTAATAAATTTCCTAATATCTAGTGGCTTCCAGACTAGTTCCTAACAAAATACAATTCATAAAACTATTAAGAAGAGGGCGTGGCCCACCATCACAAAGGGTCACCAACACTACATTCTTTATCTATCCAACTACAAAAATCTCACAAGTTATTTTCACTGTGCTTAAGATTTACTTGTTTCCATCCTGGTGATTATGCACTTGAAGTATGTGTGTAACTTGAATAATATGACTAAAAAGTCCATGTGGTAAAGACCAGGGACACACCTCTTGTCCAATAGCTTAGGACTATCAACATGCTATAGCAAGGGAGACCACATGGCTGAGGACCACAGGGCATCCTCCCAAACAAAGTAGAGAAATGTTATTATAAAATGTTGAGGAATGGTGGGGTAAAATTACAGGACATAGTGTTTTCATAAGCTCAGGGAAAAACAGGGCTGTGTTTAAAAAATAATTAACACCAGATGTGGTCTGTGAAACAGACTTATGGTCCTCCTTTGCTGGAAGCTGTATAGTTGAGACAAATGGGGAATGTTGTGTCTGAAAGTCAATTGTCTGAAATTCTGCACCTGGTTTGGGTACTGAGGTTGCTTCTCTGTCCAAATGACTTAGATCCTGTCCAGGCAAGAGTGGAGTGTTTGCTTCTTACTGATACGGCTTGGAAGAGCAAGGTTTCTGACAGCCTATAATTTTAGAAAAAAGTATTTCTTCGTACTGCGTTCTTTTGTTAACAAAAGCAGTGGCTTTATAGACATATTTCTCTTTTTAGTTTGGCATCTCTGTGTACATTCCGAAACAAAGAACAGTATGCTATACCACGTATCAAGTGAGTACTTATTTTATTTCACTAAAGGGCATAAAAATGTTTAATAACAACTGCTACATGTTGTCTATTTTGAGTGACTCCAAGTTGGAAAAAGACTAGGAGACATCACCAGTGTTTCTACTCCACAGAAGACCTGTGGTATTGTTAAAGATTTGCCACTCTTTGATCCGTACGACTTTGGAGGAATTCATTTTGTAAATCTGGTCTTCCAAAAACTGTGATGGACTATGATGGATCATAGACTCAAAGGCCTTCAAAGATCAGAGATATGGTAGACCAAAGGTGTATTTTAAAAAAGAGCAAACAAAACAAAATACACCTCAGAGGTAAATTTGCGCCGACAACCATAAGCATTCCTTGGACAATGTTATCTTTAATCTACCTTCCAACTCTAAATTTATTTTCTGTATTCCTATTCGTCTTCACTATGGCTGGAAAAGACAAAGCTATTTTATTGGTCACCAGCTCAACTAATTCCCCTTGTCTTTTTCATAATGCCACCTTACCACCTCATAAGCAAACAAAACCCTCAGCCAACAAACTAAAGCAGCTGTGACAGAAAGATAACTGATTCCTTTGTAGATATTGTCCATAGATTTTGAAGTATGTAATACAAAGTGCATATGTCAAAGCAAGAAAGCAAGAAATAGCCAATTTCAATTTTATTTCTAAGACAATAATCATGGAAGGGCATTCAGAAAGGCACAGAATGAATGAAATCCCCACTTACTTTGACTTTATTGTTTCCAGAAAAGTTCTTTCCCTTTAATTGCTTGATTTTTCTTTGTCTTGCCTTACTAAAATTTGTGACTGCTATGTGATAGGAAACTATTTGAAAGTTATTTTTCTTTCCTTTCCCTCTCCACCCCCAAATAGTACAGCATCATCTACATAGTGTCTCATAAGTGTTAATGAGTTATAAACCAACTCAGATTACTAAAATAAAATCAGTCTAGCAGCTTTGGTGATGATTTTCTTACAAACAAGGTTAGGCACTGTGTCATCAAACACTGGGCCATGCTTTCCATAGCAGAATCAATACACATCCGCTCTTATGAACCATTTTGGCTTTTTAGAAATTCTTACTTGATCTCAATGCCAATCAGAAACCTGGCCTGTGACTCATGAACTTTCCAGTCTTATGCTTAAGTCACCGATGGCAGCAAACAAGAGGAAAGTGTGATGGTGGCAACGCTGGATTCTTCAAACTTGCACCTTCTCACATGGCATGACCTGGAAGCTGACCTGGAGCAATTGTTCTGATGATATACATCACCAGGTATTCAGTTCAAGGGAAAAAGCAGACAGGTAGAAAACAAAGCATCCTTTAGTGATTTAGGGATCACTGCCTCAGCAGTTAAATCCAGAGTTCTCATTTCAACGGGCAGCTACAACTCCAGGAAATGACCTCACGTCCTGGGGGTCATTAGCTCCCAGCCAGGGCATATAAAGGCCCAGAGGGGCACGAGGACATTCACACCTGAGAACACCCAGCTCCTCTCAACAGCCCACCCCACACCAGCCTCACACACCACCATGACCGGCTCCTGCTGCGGCTCCACCTTCTCCTCCCTGAGCTACGGGGGAGGCTGCTGCCAGCCCTGCTGCTACCGCGACCCCTGCTGCTGCCGCCCCGTGACCTACCAGACCACCGTGTGCCGCCCCGTGACCTGCGTGCCCCGCTGCACGCGCCCCATCTGCGAGCCCTGCCGCCGCCCGGTGTGCTGCGACCCCTGCTCCCTGCAGGAAGGCTGCTGCCGCCCCATCACCTGCTGCCCCACGTCGTGCACGGCTGTGGTCTGCAGGCCCTGCTGCTGGGCCACCACCTGCTGCCAGCCTGTGTCTGTGCAGTCCCCCTGCTGCCGGCCCCCCTGCGGCCAGCCGACGCCTTGCAGCACCACCTGCAGGACCTTCTCCTGCTGAGACCCCACCTCTCCCCTCAACGCACAAAACATTCCCAGGTGCACAGAATCATGTGCAGACTCTTCCACCCCTTCTGGATCAGATGAGAGACCCCACCTTTGCAGCCTAGCTGATCCACAAGCACGAATTCAACAATAACATCCTGTTTCCCCACATAATTATGTAGCTAATGCTGGCCCTCTCTGACAATCTTGAGAAAAATTCCAGCTTTCATCATTTGAATTCTTGGCTTAAAAAAAAAAAAAAAAAACGAGTAAATACAAATCAAAGCTCCTCTTGAATAGAACTCTGTCCCACTGACTCATCACCCTTTTTTGTATTATTTCAAGGTTCTCAGATGAGATTTTTTTTTCTTCCAGGATAATACTATTTGTATGCTGTATTTTTGCCTGTAAAAATAAAATAAAATTTTATTTCTGGGGAAGTAAACACATTTCTTTTTATTTATTGTTTATCACTCTTCAAAAGCTCATATTTAGCTTACATTACAGCATACAGAATCAGAAGAACGAAAGGAAGGATTTTCTAAGGGCCATTTTTGAGCTTTAGAATAGGAACAACTCAGGTGGAAGGTCTATAATTTTAATAGCATGTCAAAATAAATCTGATCATCTCAAGTGATTCACCTTCATATTTCTAGTCGCAGGTTTTATGGTGATGCTGAGGAAATGGTGAGACTACAGTAGGTCTCTGTAAACATAAACTTGACTTATGAATAATTCACACACATGATAAAGGGGAGAAAGTCTAAGTTAAGTTACAGCCCCATTTGTTCACCAATGTAGAAAACTGTGCAGTAATTGATGTCAAAGAGGACCTGGGAATCCCTAGCCACTGAACATCCCATGCTGGAGGAACCACTATCCCAAATTCTCCATGGTTCCCATCAGCACCATCACGGCCAGTTCTACTTCCAGTGGAGTGGCTGCTGCTGAGAAGGCAGGGAGAAGTGAAGCCTTGGTTGTCATCATCCTGGTTTTGAGCTCCACATTCATCTTACCATTTAAACAACACCAATGCAGTTGAAATGCTGATAACATTAATCCATACTGCATATATTGTTGATATTGTTAAATACTTGTAGGTTGGTAAGGAAGGCTAACCACTATCATTTCGCTGAGAAATATGTTTTTAGTTTCTAGCATCTGATAGAAAAGAGGTTTCTTTGATTGTTCGGCATGTATTCCTGGGCATATCTACCTGCCCATTGAGAAAAGTGAGGCAAGGGAAGCTTTGTGAGGGCAGAGGTCTTCATTTTTTTAAATTTAAATTTATTTTAAGTTCAGGGATACATGTGCAGGTTTGTTATATAGGTAAATTGTGTGTCACAGGGTTTTGGTATACAGATTATTTCATCACCCAGGTAATAAGCATAGTAACAGATGGCCAGGTGCAGTGGCTTATGCCTGTAATCCCAGCACTTTGGGAGGCTGAGGTGGGTAGGTCACTTGAGGCCAGGAATTCAAGACCAGCCTGGCCAACATGGCGAAACCCTGTCTCTACTAAATATACAAAAATTAGCTGGGCATGGTGGCATGCACCTGTAATCCAAGCTACTCAGGAGGCTGAGTCAGGAGAATCACTTGAACCTGGGAGGCAGAGGCTTCGGTGAGTCAAGATTGCACCACTGCACTCCTGCCTGGGTGACAGAGTGAGACTCCGTTTCAAAAAATTAATTAATTAATTAAATTAAACAAAAGCATAGTAACAGACAGGTGGTTTTTTCATCCTCACCCTCTTCCCACCATCCGCCCTCAAGTAGGCCTCAGTATCTGTTGTTCCCTTCTTTGTGTCCATATGTATTTAATGTTTAGATACCACTTATAAGTGAGAACATGTGGTATTTGGTTTTCTGTATCTGCGTTAGTTCGCTTAGGATAATGGCCTCCAGCTTCATCCACATTGTTACAAAGGACATAATTTCCTTTTTTTATGGCTGTGTACTATTCTGTGATGTATGTGTACCATATTTTCTTTATCCAGTCCACCCTTAATGGGTATTTAGGTTGATTCCATATTTTTGCTACTTTGAACAGACGTATGCATGTATTGTCTTTATGGTAGAATGACTTCTATTCCTCTGGGTCCATACCCAATAATGGGATTGCTGGGTTGGATGGTAATTCTGTTTTAAATACTTTCAGAAATTGCCAAACTGCTTGCCACAATGGCTGAGCTAATTTACATTGAGGGCCAGGATCTTGACTAACTTTGTTCACTACTAGATTCCCACTGACCTGCACAATATTTGGCACATTGAGTATAATAAAAAATGATGTGTTGAATGATGAATGAATAAGTTCTAAGGGGATTGGTTAGAAGAGAGAAAAACATCATCATTCCATCCCAACTCTCAACTCATCATGCTGGATGTGCATATTCTTAAAATAAAACAATAAACCAATCATGAAGAAAGATCTTTTTTCTGGAAATATGGTAAAAGTTTCTCAACGAGAAGACTGTTATATTCAAAACCTTTACATTTTCAGTATGTGCACAATGGAGTTTTATCTTTGTTAACCGTTTGGTAATTAACCAATGGATAGGCTCGTAAGTCTAATTTCTTTCTATATATTCTTTTTTTTTTCTTTTTTTTGGAGACGGAGTCTTGCTCTGTTGCCCAGGTTGGAGTACAGTGGCACAATCTCTGCTCACTGCAAGTTCTGCTTCCCGGGTTCACACCATTCTTCTGCCTCAGCCTTGCGAGTAGTTGGGACTACAGGTGCCCGCCATCATGCCCAGCTAATTTTTTGTATTTTTAGTAGAGATGGGGTTTCACCATGTTAACCAGGATGGTCTCGATCTCCTGACCTCGTGATGCGCCCGCCACAGCCTCCCAAAGTGCTGGGATTACAGGCGTGAGCCACCATGCCCAGCCTCTTTGTATATAATCTTGATCAGTGTTTTCAAAATTTGCTAAGTACATCTGTTTTTCTCCTCTCAGAGTTTTTCTTTTTAGCCTTCTAGAGACCTCCTTATTTAAAAGTGTTTTCTCAAATGGAGAATGCCTTGTTTCCCCCTAAAGTTATCGCTATTATTGAATCTCGTTTATTTCCACAGTCACCCCATTCTCTGGTTGGCCAAAGTGGCTGGTGCAGATCTGGGTAAGCCTGTAAGAAACCATGCAAGAAGTGTGATCAATAAGAAGGCCTACACTTGAACCTTCAACTTCAGATCTATTAGATTGGTGCAAAAGTAATTGCAGCTTTTGCCGTTGAAAGTAATGCCAAAAACCACAATTACTTTTTGCACCAACCTAATAGAACAGACTTAGTTGTAAAGGAAAAGGTCAGGACCAAGCAAATTAAGAGGCAAAAACTAAAATGTGATTGAGTGACATAATTTGCCTACAAGTCATGACAATTTGAAACAATTAAAAATGACAATTGGTTCCATAAGCAGAAATGAGCCCCAGCATAGCACACAGGGAGATGTTGAAGACACTGAGGTATGGGCCGGATGAGGCCTGAGAACACATTCAACTGGGATCACTACTGAAGGGTTTTATTATACTGCAAGACTGCAGCCTTCATCTACATAGACTTGTTTGACTTCCTCACCATTTTGGTGGCTTTGTTCACAATACCCCATGATCATTCAATTATGCCCAACTATGACACTATCTCCCTAGGGTATGTTTTGACATTTTCAGAAGGCTGAATAGAAGGTAATTCTTCCCATTCCTGAGGCTATTGGTAAGACATAGAGTCCTTTCAGCTGACTCTAAAAAATTAGCCATATCACAAATAACAACTGTTTTCAAAGTAAATACATTGTAAAAGTTCCTAAATAAAATAGACATTCCTTAATATCTGGGAATGTGGTACCTACAATCCATTCTTTAGCTACAGTGAGTTCTTCAGCTTTTTGGGCTGACAAATAATGTTCCCACAGATATTTCTGGAGTGAGTATTGGCTCCAACACTTACTAGGTACATGACCTTGGGTAAGTCACTTATCTGGTTCCTCATGTGTGAAATGAGAAATAAACAGTATCTACATCCTAAGAATGTTATGAAGATTAGATTAATACATGTATTTTTTAATATGCTGCTTGGAACATAGTTAGAACTTAATGATACTGGCTATCATGAAGATTACAGTGAAATTTACCTTGGTCTGGAAATATACAACCATAGAAATCAATGAACATATCTCTAAGACAAAAACCACTGGATGATGGAAACCTACTAAAATGCATTCTTGTACCTCCAAAAAGAGGACTGGAAAATTCTTCTTTTACTGAGAAATGCTGACTTTTAAACTATCCCTGTAGTATTATCCTCAACTTGTTTTGCCCAGGAAGCTTAGCAGTGGCAAAGAATGCTAACAACTTGAGGTGTACTTCACTTCAACTGCTAGCAAGTAACCCTCAGGGCATGCAGAGCATGACAGCTGCTTTGTGCTATCAAAACAGCAACTGGCAAAAGCATCATTGAATTATAATGATAATTGGAGACTTTGAAGTTAGGGTCATTAAATTCATATTTGAACCATAAATAGCAAAATATAATGGGTCTACACTAAATAAGGAAAACAAATAGACATTTATGTGTACCTGAGTATCTAAACAATGTCTAGAAAACTTACTAATCTGCAGGTGTTATTTCAGGAAGAATAAGTGAAAACAAGGAAATGACCTCGTGTCCTGGGGGTCATCAGCTCCCAGCCAGGGTATATAAAGGGCCTGGAGCGGGAGGAGGACATTCACACCTGAGAACACCCAGCTCCTCTCAACAGCCCACCCCACACCAGCCTCACACACCACCATGACCGGCTCCTGCTGCGGCTCCACTTTCTCCTCCCTGAGCTACGGGGGAGGCTGCTGCCAGCCCTGCTGCTACCGCGACCCCTGCTGCTGCCGCCCCGTGACCTACCAGACCACCGTGTGCCGCCCCGTGACCTGCGTGCCCCGCTGCACGCGCCCCATCTGCGAGCCCTGCCGCCGCCCGGTGTGCTGCGACCCCTGCTCCCTGCAGGAAGGCTGCTGCCGCCCCATCACCTGCTGCCCCACGTCGTGCACGGCTGTGGTCTGCAGGCCCTGCTGCTCCAGCCTGTGTCTGTGCAGTCCCCCTGCTGCCGGCCCCCCTGCGGCCAGCCGACGCCTTGCAGCACCACCTGCAGGACCTTCTCCTGCTGAGCAGCCCGTAATCACGAAGAACCCTTCAGAAGATGGCCAGGACCATCCCGCTGCCCCTCACGGCTTCACCGCAGAGCGGTTTCCTTGAGAAGCCCATTTCTCATCTCTTCATACTAGCTCACCCTATGCACTGAAGATACCTTTTCAGACCAACTACAGATGAAAAATACTCTGTCTTCCTAGGACTCCAGTCTAACTCCCATATCATGTTGTCTGCTTTCTAATAAAACTCAATATTCTTAGCATAGAAATCATGGTCTTTGTGATATTTCCTTCCGGTAGATT